CTATTTACTATTCTGGCACCATACAGGGTTAGTTGGTAACCCTTTGTGTATATATAAGATATATATCTTATATACAGAGTCTCATTCTTTCTAGACTGTCACTGTGTCACCGTAGACTAGGGGACCCAAACTCAAATGATTCCAGGGGTCTCACCAGTCATGCCAACATGCAGTTTGCTAATGTAAACATTTTTGTGGATGAATAAGCTATCTTCCATTTTTCTTGAAACAGAAGTTCTTCTATGTCTTCATTGTGTGTTTGTTTTCCATGTTTGATTGAGACAGGGCACTGAGAAATTTATTCATTCAATAAGTGTTTATCAAGTGCATGGTATGTGCCAGCAGCTGTGCAGATGATCGGCAGAGACCAACGTCTTCTCCTGTCCAGATCTCCACCAAGGGACACTCATCACAGGCCCAGCAGCCCTTCTGCCAGGAAGGGTCTTGGTGAGCAGATAGTGGGGTGACTTTGAGTTAGTGCAGAATTGGGGATGGGCCCGATCAGCATCTTCCTTACCTACCATAATGTGTTAGGACATGATGTCCAGGGGTGAACAGGGAGATGCCTGCCCCCAACCCACCTAATGAAGCAGGAGGGATCATCATTGGTGATGCCTATGAAAATATTCCTGATCTGAAAAGTGAGGCTTTCCGGGGGACATGGCTGTCCTCCTAGTGGGCTCTGAGCACCTTGCTCCTCTTTGCTGCAGGAATTGGAGGGTTAGCAACGTTGGCTCTGGGCAAGTTACATCACCATTCTGTGTGCCTCAGTTTATCTGTAAAGTGGGAGTAATGATAGCACATTCCTTCATAGGCTGTTGCGAGGATGGAATTAACATGGGTAAAGTATTTATAACAGGGCCTGGCACACAGCAAGCACTCAACAAACATTTGCCAATTTATGATCGTTTTTGTTGCCAGGGTGGGGCGGGCCACGGAGAAGCCCTTCAGCCTTCTAGAGACCCTGTCCTGGGCTCACTGTGTCGCTGACAATGCTCCAGACCTGGAGCCCTTGTGAGCAAGGACCAGGGCACTGCAACCCCGCTGGCTCTGACCTTTGCGTCCAGCCAGCTTTCCTTCACCGACGCT